AAGCGTTTTTTTAGGAGAGCTATGCTTGAAACATCAGATTATCTCAAAGATGATTGCTTGAAGATCAATTGTACAGTTGGGGTTGTGGTTTCTGCTATTGATTGTTCAAGATTACATTCAATTCAGGTTCCAGATTCTAATATTGGGTCAGATTTTGGCATGCTTCTGGAAAATATCGATGGTTCTGATGTTATTTTTAATGTGTCTGGGGAGAGATTCCATGCCCACAAGTTGGTATTGGCTGCCCGTTCCCCTATACTTCGATCAGAACTTTTTGAAGAAATGGATAGTGCTGAACAAGAAATTATAGTATCAGACATGGAACCCAAAGTTTTTAAGGTTAAATTAGTCCATTTTTATCTGCTGTAGTTATTTGAGGAATAAAAAAACCATCACATCTTTTAACTGTTTATTTCTTGGTTACATTCAAGTTATGCAATGTCATCATCTAGATTGATTGTCAAATGAATTTCTTATTCTTTTCCGCATTTTGTGTTGCAGGCCATGCTACATTTTATCTACAGAGATGCCTTAATTGAAGATGGCCTGATAGCGTCCAGCTCTTGTTCATCTCCTTTGATTACTGACACATTGACTGCAAAGTTACTTGCAGCAGCTGATCGTTATGATTTAGGAAGACTAAGACGGATGTGTGAATCTCGTCTTTGCAAGGATATATCTGTAAATTCTGTTGCACATATACTTGCTTTGGCAGATCGTTTTCATGCGGCAGAACTGAAAGCTATTTGCCTTAGATTTGCTGCTGACAACCTGGCAGGTATATGCCTTTTGCCCTGATCCGTGCCTCTTTCCTCGTGTAGTTATCAACATGTGTGTGGTTTGAATAAGAAAATGCTCTTGATATTGGTTATACTCAGTTGCTCATCTATTTGCAGTATAGTTGTGCAATGAACATGACATCTTGAGGTGTTATTGAATGATACTTCAGCATTTATAGCTTGCTAATGAATGCTACGAGCGATGCATTGCAAAACACTATGTCTAGAAAAAGTATCAAATTATTTTAAAGTTTACCAACACTTTAACTTGGTTAATTGAATTTCAGTTGTTAATTGTAAGAGTGTGTGTGTGTTTCTTTCAGTTGTTAACTAAATAAGATGGTAAAGGAGTTTGTATGTTACAAATAAGTTGGGATCCCTTACGTTTGCCGAGATTAAATGATTATAACATCTCTGGGAGGTCATAGAATTTTTAAAAATCATCAAACAAATTTAAAAAGCTTAGAAGCTCTCAAGCATATTATAAGAGTTAATTAAGAGCTTATATATAAGCTTAGTCAAACACCTCTATTATATATTTTTTTTTTTGACAAATTGTAAAAGGGTCAACAGAATAAATGGATGTTACAGTTTGATATGTTAGCTCAATCTTATGTTATGCAGATAATTATTATTATTATTTTTTTTTTTTTAAAAAAAACTACTAATCGAAGGATGTTGTTTTAAGCTCGATGACATGCTTCCTTCATATTTTTGTTTGCAGCTGTTATGCGTTCGGATGGCTTCGAGTATCTGAAAGAGAATTGCCCGGCCCTACAGTCGGAGCTTTTGAAAACGGTGGCTGGCTGCGACGAGGATTGCAGCAGAGGTGGCGGAAAGTCGAGAAGTGTGTTGGGTCAGCTCTCTGATGGTGGCGATACATGTGGCAGAAGGGTGAGGCAACGGACTTGAATACCAACAAAAACTGATGCTTTGTCATTCTTGTAACTGTAATCAATGTACTAAAATTGCCTTCAAAACTCTTGTGCTTAGCCTTTGATAATATTTGATTTTTTGTCTTTTGTTTGTTCATAAATGACAGTGACAGCAGTGGACGGACACAATTGCTTATGTTCTGTTTTTAGGTTTGTTTGTTGTTATGCTACGCGATCAAGCTTGTTTGCATTAGGGCTGATTTTAGATGATCAATTTGTATGTGAAAGTGCTGTTGAAATCTGCAAGTGACATGGATGAACAATCGATTTTTTTTTTTTTTTTT